CAAGGAATGAAGAAAATGTATAAACATAGCTACAGTGATAGATATAATTTTGATGCAATTTAGCATAGTTATATATTGAATGGGTCATCAACTTTATCAGTTTCATATTTATCCAAAAGCAGTTTTCGAAACATCTTTATGAACTGACTAATGCTTGAACATTGCTGTAGGTCCACAGGAAAACTGTTCCACAGTTTTACCCCACAAATGGTAATACAAAAGGTTTTAACCTTTGTCCGTGCTTTAAGAGTCTTCAGATTTAATTTTCCCCTCAATCCACAGTCCCCTTCTCTGTCAAAAAACATCATCTGTACATTTCCTGGTAACATATTTTATCTGGCTTTGTACATAATTTTTTACAATTTTATATTTTATAAGATTCTTAAACTTCAAAATTTTTAATTTCAAGAACATAATATTAGTGTGGTCTCTAAATCCTGCTTTAGTAATCATCCTGATGGTTTTTTTCTGAATTTTACATAATGTTTGAAGTGAAGTTTTGTATGTATTTCCCCAGATTTCAGTTTTCAGTATTTCACAGTATTCCAAATATGGCAATATAAGTGAACAGTAAAGTACCCGGAGTGATTTGGAAGGCAAAAAATGTTTAGCTTTACTCAGTACACAGATGCTTCTTTACAGTTTAGCTTGTATTTGCTGTATGTGAGGTTTCCAGCAGATTGTGTTGTCTATTATCACACCCAGAAATTTTGTATGAGAAACACTACTTCAACATTATTTATCAACAATTTTGCTCCAGCATCTTTTTTTTTTCAATTTCCAAATAACATAAATGTAGTTTTATTCAAATTTAGTGATAACTTGTTTCTGTCAAACCATGTTTTCAGTTTAATCATTTCTTGTGTGACAATTTCCAAAAGCTGCTGTGAATTCTCTCCAGCACAAAAAAACATTTGTATCATCTGCAAATAAAATAAATTGTAATATAGCAGATGTTTTACATATATCATTGATGTACAGAGTAAACAGTTTTGGTCCCAATACTGATCCCTGTGGAACTCCACAAACAATGTCCAGGCACTCTGATTGATATTCACCAAGCTTCACAAATTGTTGCCTGTCTCTCAAATAACTCCTGATCCACTCTAGCACCACTCCTCTAATGCCATAGTGCTCCAGTTTATCAAGTAATATTTCATTATTAATTGTGTCAAAAGCTCTTTTTTTTAGGTTTTTCCAGTATTTTTGAAAATTGTGAAAGTAGAGAAATAGGCCTGTAATTTGCGAATTGGTGTCTATCTCCATTTTTAAACAGTAGTATTACTTTAGCTGTTTTATGTTTTATATTTATGTTATTTTATATTTCTCCTTTCATTATTCCCTTGTGGAGTTACCCTTTGTTCACTAGAGATCCAGTGTCTATGGCTCGGGGATGTTTTAAAATCATAACAATAGCACACTAAAAAGACCTTGTGACTGATAAGCAGATATCATAAGTGTATAAACTGATTAGACAAGCATGAGGCCTTCACTTCTACCTTTTAATGTTTCTAAGGCCTCTTCATGCTGGTTTTCATCTTTGCTTTTTGTTGTTGATTTTGTGTTTCTACCTTAATACCTAAATATTAAAGATCATATGTATGTCCTCATTAGAACAGGGATTTGTGTTGGTGTGTGGGACTTATTGTTAAATGGACAATGTGTTTCAGATAATTTTATGGAGAAACACAAAAGTAATGTGCTCAGTGTAATACATTACTTTTTTGAGTAATGACCCTAACACCCTTCACCACAAAGAAGGGAAATTCCTCCAACACAAACACAAACATAAACATAAGAGAAGGAATCAAATCACTGAATGATATTGAAGATGGAATAGGAATCGATAAATTCTTGTCCAGTCTGACTCATGATGTCATGATTGATTCATATGACAAACTTTAAATTTTTACCTCTAAACTCTTTCAAATCTGTCTTTTTCCCAAGATAATATTGGACAATTACCTTAAATGCTATGGTTTTGTCAATTTTATATGTAAATGTGAATGTATGTAAAAGTGGAGTTTTGGCCAAAAAACAGAATTAAACCAGCGAGATGTATGCTGGCAGACCGTGAAGGTTGAAGTGGGACCCAAAAGAAACAGAACTTGATATCAACTAAGAGTGGGGTGC